ACACTACACACAATCACCCATTCACACACACATTCATACAGTGGCTTACTATACCACACGCACACTTTCACACACCGATGTTACACCGGGGTAATTTGGGCCGTTTTTGACCAAGGACATTTCAACATGTGGACTGGAAGAATCAGGAATCAGGAACCTTTTAACCAGTTAGCAGACGGCACCACTCTACCTCCGGAGCCATTTATGGTCATACTGAAATCCCGATCAGAAATTACCCTTTTGAAATTAAAGTCAAAATTGTGTGATGTTTCTAAATTTACTGCTAATAGTTTTTATTACTAGCATTACTAAAAAGGGAGACAACAGGCCCACGGGTAAACAGAAATGCTCCTCTTCTGTCTGCAGCTGGAGGGGGCGTGTCAGTGTCAGTGTCCATGGACAGCAGCCAGCACGTTGAGCACCAGCAAGGGAGCAATATGAAAGTTAAGTGACTTACACAGTGGCCTATATGTCAACTACTGATCTTAGCAGTTAGCGGTGCACTTTCTCCCAGAAGGATGTTTATTATGGTTAAAGGGGTTGAGGTCAAGGACCAACTGACATGACATGATTATGTTTAAGTTACATAAGAATGAGACATTAGCAGGAAAGCTAATACGGTTTGTTCAACGCCTGCGGTCCTCGTGTTGTGTAGTCGGCCCATGATAGAACGTTTTCAAATGGAAACAGCAGAAAAACAAACAAAAACACACACACACAACAACAACAACAACATACATTTATACATTTCTATCCTTAGGCTTTTTGTCGGAGGAGAGCACAAAAAAACAGGCTATTTGATTTCAGTTGGACTTTAAAAAATAGAGGGTCCAAATTAATTTGGCCTTCTATTTCCTTCTACAGTGCAAAATATCATACAACAAAAAATATTTAGCTAGCAAAATTAAGCTAGACATTATGTGTTGCAGGTGTTGCCTGTCAAAGGGCAAATACAACCTTCTGGTTTAATAAAAATAATCAAAGGCCCTCCAGCCAGTCAAAGTAGAGTATTCATACAGGTCACGCTGCGAGCTGTGATAATGGCCACTATTAAGAACATGGACAATAATACACTGTGTTTTTTTTAAAAAAAGAAGGGAACTAAGCAATTTGGGACTTTTATTAACCTTGGAAACCAATTAACTGCACTAATATGAAGAGGATTTTTGGCACAGCTTACGGCAGCCTGGGTTTGACAATAATAATAGTCACATTTTCACACTAGAGTAAGTTGGCTAATTGGAGATCCAACAGAAATGTCTGCAGCGGACATTTGCTCATAGCAGCAGAAAATGCAGAGTGGGAGATGGGTCCAAAGCGGTGTGCGCTGGCTGGAGAGAGGGAGCTGTTCAAACCCAGAGTTCTCTGCACTTACTGTAACAAATGATTCATTAATGCACTGCTCTATAAAATCCCAGAGAGTAGAGTATGGTAATTGTGTGTAATGGGACAGTAAGACCTTAGACTGCAAAATGACCGGGGTTCAATACTCCTCTGTGAGTAACAATTACACAGTACTGCGTGTTCACCTTTGGAAGACAAACAGACACACACACACACACACACACACACACACAGAGGTTCCCAGGGACTACTTCCTCTACTTCAAATGCCAGAAGCCCCCTCCCACACAGTAAATCAGGAAGCCTGTGTCACTGACGGTTTGTTTAGCTCACACAAACATGGAACACCCTTAGAAACCACTGCACAGCCTCTTTCCACTGTCCTCTATCCTCCACAAAGCCCTGCTGCTCACACTGCTCACACTCAGATGCAGCTTCTGGAGACGTGAACACATGAGGGGTGGCGTCAGGCACCTGGTGCACTGAAATTAAAAACTGGATGGGGAAAAAAAATACTGACCCTCCATAATGTATGAGCGGAAAAATTACCTCAAAAGGTCTCACATCCCCGAAACTGAATCCAGAACCTGCGGGGATCGCTGGGACCGGTGCATATGTACATCATTGTGCTTTTGTGTAATACGATAACCTCAGCCTGAGGTAAGCAGACAGGAAAAAACATATAATGCACACATGGGTTGTTGATTTCATAACACAATAAAGGTTGGACTTGAATGCATTTGGAGGACAGTACGAGATGGCGGAGGAATATGGAATTAGTTTAAATAAACGTGAGAGCGCTTGCTGTTGTGTCCACAACAGGACGGAGAACACAGCAATCAATAAGGAGCAGGGTGCAGGAGCCCAGTGTGCCGTGGTGATTTATGAGGGGTTAAGTTTCATCAGCATCGTCATTACTCTTGTCACTGTGAATCTGGTGGTCTTTGCACTCATCAGTGTGGGTTGCCAGGAAGGTAGTGCCTCACAATACCATCGGTTTAACACGCATACACTGGCATACAGTGTCGCCGCAGCCATGTTAATATGACAACAACTGCTCCTAAATAGAATGTAGAAAGAAAATCAGCCCTTTGCTGTTTGGCTGCAAAGAGGTTAAACCTAAAGCTACTGTATGACACCGTAACGGCGATGAGATTCTACTGGTGTAACCTTTTAAATGCTGTTGCATTAAGAGCAGACCTACCATACCATGGAGATAGCCAGGGCTTTGGGAGCTATGCCGCCAACACCTTTGTCTCACTCAATATAGCTGCTTGCTGGACTCAGGCAGTAAACCCTCAGCATGACAGCTTAGGGGGTTGAATGTGATGGGTTGCACGACAGTCCCGCTGCACAATCAGCTCATGTATTTAGTGTGGGTCCAGGCAGTTGGAAGATGTCCGAGCAAAACGGCCTCACAGACTCATTTGACGACGCTGCCAATTGGCAGCTTTGACGCGTTCGCTGACCAAAGTGTCCCGAGAGCTGACATGCATGGACGGTGAGGTAAGAATCCAGTTTTACCAGGCTGATTGTGGTATTTACGATCATTTGGACCCCTGTGTGCTATGATCAAGAGTTCACAAAACAATTTGCATTTATTTCCCGGAAACATTCAAAGTCAGTGTAGAGAGTGGAGTGACGTTCATGTAGCACAAGGAACATTAGAGCTGTGGTTACTAACTTGGGGGTCAGGAACAGGCCACAAGATAACATCTGAGGGTTACCATGACAAGATCAGCTTGAAAGGCCCTAAAAACCTCTAAGGCTGTGAACACAACATAATCTGTCAAAGTTACAACAGTTTCTAGGTGATGTCATGTCATGGCTTCTGTGCACCAATCAGTATCTAGTAACATTTGTAAGTAAGGTAAATGATGGTTGTGGGACAGCTTGCCTGTGTTGCCAGGCAACCATCAATCAAATCTGGTTATACCACTCCCACAAAGTTCTGACATCATGGATTATTAGTTTTTAAACTCCTACAAATGACACCTAAGGGTGTTTTTTTTTTCTTCCAAAACTGTGACTTTAATGGTTGTTTATTTAGTCGTAAATAAAAAAAAAATGCAGGGGCTTTAAACAGTCACATTTCGATGGGTTTTTTTTTTTTTCATTATTCAGTTTCTCCACAATTTTTCCTTCAAGTTGTTTTAGTTTCACAAACTTTACCATGTCTAGTTTCTGTTTTGAGCAGATATTGAGGAGGAAAATTGTCAAACTTTGTTAAGGTTAAGGTTTTAAACAAGTAGTTTAAAAATGGAAAACTCTTTGGTACAAAGTTTAAAGACACAGCACATAAAACCTGTTAATGTTTATTCTTTCTTTCTGTCTTTTTGTTTTGTTTTTACACAATCAGATCTATCGTCATCATTTCCTGTTCACCAATATGAAATTAAACTAGTCAAACATAATAGACTCTGTAAACACTTCACTTCATCACTGCAGAATCAATGAGAAATCCGCAGTAAAGCTTCATCAGAACTGTATCAAATCTGACAAGTTGACAGAACGAGTTCACTCATGTCCAGAGCCTCTGCTGTGATGATGTGCTTCAGCCTGGGAGTTACCTCTGCTCTGTCACCTCCCTTATAATGACTCCAGTGCGTCTTTCCTCTGCAAAGTATACAGCGAACCATCGTCATCATACCCTCCTCCTACACATCATCACCGCCACCACCACCACCATCATCATCATCATCATCGCCCCTTTCGTTTTCACCGTCCAGCCCACAAACTTCCAGCATGTCCAAATCTGCTGCTTATGTAACCATGCAGATGGTTTAGCAACCAGTGACCACCGCTTACATCAAAGCCTCGGCGCTGAATGGAGCTGAATCACTGCTGATTTCCAGCCCAATCAATCTGAAACAGCCTGAGTGCATTTCATACCTTCCTGTACTTTAGCGGCGATTATTCAGTCTATAGAATGAACGCCAAGTCTGGTAGACTCAGCAGTCCCTGGATGTATAGTCTACCGGCTGAGTGAGTCATGCATGCATGATCATATACAATCGATTATAATAACAGGCTAATTTGTGCGTTTAAAATGTCCTGCGTAATTCTACCCCCATCAAAAGGCTTTTACGCATTTCAATAAAGCGTGAACACACTGCAGGCTGAGTAACCCTCTGCACATCACTCGATCAGACCCGACACGTCGTGAGGAAACGCTCCGTAAAGCGGATAAAGGTGAGCCATTATCTCATGGGAACTGTTTATTAAATATGTGCCATCTAAATGATCATGCACCACAAACATTCATTTTCCTCCTGACAGCAGGACGATGCAGATTAACTGGACCCAGTTTACGGATGCTCACACTGCCGCTCAGACGTTTATAATGGATTGAGGACACAACAGAGTATTCTGCGGATGCACATTCCTCGGCTCAGTAATCCACACAGACACAGCTGAAATAAATGACCTCGACACACACGCACGCGCGCACACACACACACACTCAAACAAATAACGATGATGGACAAAATGCACCGTCAACTCTGAACTGCTTCTCTCCGACAATGCTGCAGCTCACATTGCCCAGAAAGCATGGCAGTAACACTACACAACACAACACACCACAGCGCATCGCACGCACACACACACACACACACACACTCAATTCACACTCACTCCCATGTCAGCGCGTCCTACCAGAGGATAAAGTCCAACAGCGGCGCGGGGGTTTGAACTGGAACAAAACTCTCAAGGCGATCCCCAAAGTGTCCTCAGTCGTCGGCTTCGGCGCGGAGCACCAAACACAGCAGACCTCCGCCGCTCAATGAGCGCAGCAGAAACGGCTGTCAAGTTGACGTTGGGAGGCAACCCACTACTTCCTGTTACATCACACTGTAGCCTACAGCTGAGGACCTGGGAGCTGAGGCCAGATCCACACAATGGTTTGCCACTCAACTCCCACACTCGGATACAGACTTGAGTACAGTTTGTATTGTTAAATGTGCTGCAGACTGCAAATCCAGTTTCCCTTCTCCTCAGGCAGGAGTCACTGCATGTTGAGCAGTGTCTTGCTCATGAGCACTTCAGGAGAGAAATTGTTTTGAAACATGCAGTTGCTGCCCAGCTGCTTGGACCATATAACTCATCCAACAATAGTTTATGAAGAAAGACAGCATCCCTGATCTCCCTGCAACATAAATAACAAATATAACACATATAATCGACATTAATCAATAAGACTTGCAATTATTTGTTTTCTAATTTTTTTTCTTTTTTTTAGGTCACTTTGAGCAGCAAGAACACAGCATTGACACATCACATTATAAGGTAGTAATGGTGGTGTTTGCAGTTACATATCCAGCAGACAAAGAGCAACATCAGCATTCATTTTTGAGCAGTATTTCTGTACACCTGATGTAAGTACAATATCCGTTCTCCTTTTAGCTCGTTTTGGTCCCCACCACCTCCCGAGGGAAATATCTGGCTCTTAAGCAGCTAAATGCTGGTTCCCCTGTAACTCAGTGCCTGACTGCTTGTTGGCTGCCGGTCAGCATCCCACACAATAAGCTGAAAGACGCTGAAATACTCAGTAGAGCTGAGGTTAGTAATGATTCTCTCTGGGTCTGACACTATTACACTGCATAAAGTCATTAGATCCATTGTTAATATAAGCAATATTGTGTAGTGCAGCTTCAATTTTACTGTTCCACTTGTGTTTTTTGTTACATTACCCGGCATGAAGATCGAAATGCTACTGCAATGCTTTCTCCACAGCAATTACATTCTGGTGGAGAAAGACTTTTTCATTCACTGGTCAAACAAACCTTAAGTGGTCGAATTTAAACATACTCCAAATCCAAAATACTGGACTTCAGTGATCCAAGAACCCTCTATATAAGTGGTTTTCAGTGTAACATTTAAACTACTTTTTACATTACTCCAGTAAAACTCCTCAATCCACCTCAGAAATAACAAGAACATTACAGTTACATTGACTTTAAATGTACCGGTTATTGCAATGGTAGAATCTTCATTTAAATCCACTGCAGCAACACAAACTAATCACATTGTCTCCCTCATGATTTGACCCTGCAGTCGTCCAGATGAGTTTTGAAAGAAACCGAATCAGGGTCATACATGCTTCACTTGTAAGGCCCATAATAAAAGTGGTATCTCAGATATTGCCTGTTTTCTTAGTTGTTTTACTGAAGCACTTTGTAATTGTTCAAAACAGAAGTCAGATGGGGAGTCATAAAAAATAAAACCTAGGGAAAGGAAGGCAGGCAACAGTGGAAATTTATTATCCAGTCCAGTTCTTTACAGCTGCAAAACAAGACTGTACAGAAAATACTGTTGAGGGCCAGTGCTAAAAATTTACCTTACACAACACTGCCCCCTTCTGTTTTTCCTTAACAACAACACCAGCAATAATGCAAGAGTGATTTATAAAACTGCATAACATTGATTAAAAAAGAAAAAAAAAATTCATGCTTGATTTGACAAGTATAAAGCAGTCATTACCTTGTTCATATTGATTTACAGCTGCAATGATATGGTCCTTGAGATTAATGTGTTTGCTTCAGAGCATTCTTGTCATTGATCCTGGAACAAGGGTTGTCCACCACTTTAATCTGCTAATGCTGTTTTCACCTTGATAAACAACAGTGAAGCTTTACCAAAATCATTGCAGACAAGCATCAGTTACTGTATATACACAGTCAATATGCAGTAGAGGCAGTAATTTTGCTGCTCAACAAAAATCATATTGTAATTTTGGTGTTTTTTTTTTTTTTTTTTTTAAAGTTACATTAAAAAGTTTATATCATTGTGCTCATAACAGAGATCCGAAGCTGTAAAAATTAAATGATATTTGTATACAAAAGAACACACATGCAAATCATGAATGTAGAGAGCCACTATATTGGATCAGCAAAACAAATACAGAATGTTTTTTGTCAATGAGATATTTGAAACTATGTGGATAATGATCCTGTCTCTACAAAGTTAATTCAGGTACACAATTAGTTGTTTTTACACATTAGTTGTTGCACTACAAAACAACAGTATGGGTTAAGCTAAGAATAAAATATGGACATAAATACAGGTGACTCCACAGCAGTGCAGGATGTAATGCAGGGCGAGGTGTTCACGCTGAGCGATGAACGATGTTGCCTATGTTTTTCCTCCTTATTCGGATCCTCTTCGTCACGTGACCTGCAGCAGAACAGAGCATTTTAATTTCATGATTTCCTTTGGACAGTTTTTCTTGAAGATGACAGATTACAAGTTATTTTTCACAAAGAGAAACCTACGATTTTCGAAAAATTATTACACTTGTACCAACTGTACATGAGCTTTCTACAGTTAAACAACCCTAAGTAATGAATCCTGTGTTTATTCCTAAAATGGAAACATGCTTTTTGGAAATGATCTGTTAAAAATAATCATACCATTTCTGCTCCTAATGCACTTTTTAATACACTGTTTGCGTGATGTGAAGTTGTTCTCGTTTCCCCCGCATCCGCTGTAGTGAAACATCTGGCATCTCTTGGTGTTGGGGTTGAATGCAAATCTCTTCTCTACACTGTGACATGTTCCCCTGTCCATAGGACTGCTGCAAACATCCTTAGGCTTCAACTCTGAAAATCATAGGAAGAGCCAGAGAATATCAAAGCTTTGAATTGGGGCTGCAACTAACAATTGTTCTGATTGTCGATCAGGACATAAAATTAGATATATCATCATCCTGTACATCTTCCTTTGAATTATATATCATGAGATATGTAGACAACTTTCCAGTAGACAACATCCATTCCAGTTTGACTAAAGGGTGAGGAGGAGGACAGAGGATGCATATGATGCTTGTTAGCACTTCATCAACATCTTCTTGGCTTAAACCTCCACATGAGCTCATACACACACAAATTAAGATTCTGTCTGACTGGACTTTGTCCAGTGTCTGCAGGCGCTCAGAATTAAATTGACAGATCTGAAAAGTAAGCGTTGTTGTAATGGCTCCCCATAGGCCTGTGTAACTTATCCTCTTTGATTTATTCAGTAACTTTCTTCATGATGAGAAACAGCCATACTCCAACTGTAGGAGAGCTTGTTAGCAACCATGAGTGGTCTTTCACACAAATGATGGACACTGATTTTCATAGGTAAACACTATGGATTCCTCATCATTACTTCATTTGTTGGGGTCACCTGGGGTCAATTAGAAAAGGAAATACACACCCAATGATAGACTTCTGTAATATAACTTCAGAAATAACAACCACAATGTTAACTGCAAAATCTCAGAGTGCTTAAAGGTCTCTATAGTATAAAGGCAGATGTCCATGTGTTGTTTGATTATAAAGCAGGTCTAGGTTCTATATTAACACTGTGAAAGTATCAAAGTGCTCAGTCCACAGAGAAATGCACACAGCCTGTATTCAGAAACTGAGCCTTAAAACGAGCTGTCAGGACTTCTGTGACTTTGTGATGTCCCAACAAAGAAGTCACAGCTGTCACAGCTCTGGGCCATGCCCCAGCCATGCCCCAAGCTCAAGCTTGTTACTAGAGCTCCATAGCGAAGCTGTTTTCTGGTTCTTAAAACCACAAATATGTCTTCTTATGGATCAACACTTCAAATAAAACACAGGAGAAGTGTAAAATATGGGACCTTTAAAAATCCAAAGTGTAGTGTGACTTTTATTTCTCTCCAAAACAAGTTAGATTTCACCTCAGCAAGTATAAAACTATATAGTAGAGAAGGTTTCAAAAGCAAAATGATTCTATAATAGTGGCACATGTAGATTATTACTTGCAACAGACAGTAGTAGTAGTAGTAGTAGTAGTAGTAGTATCATGGTAGTATTTATTTATGTTTTCAGGATTTTGGACCCAGAGCTGCTTTAGTGTAGGGTTAGATTTCATTGCTATTTACACAAAGGGTTCTACAGTACAGCTTCTCCCACTGTCACTAAGTGTAAATCATCATATAACCACAAGATGTCAGTCTTTGGTTTCACCATGGCAACATCTGCTTAGTAGACTGACATCACATTTCATACCAGTTCTATAAAGATGAATTTCCAGCTTTTTCGAATTTGAAATTCAGATACAAAATCTCAACTCAACAGTGAAACACATGATCACCTGATATTTACTACTGACATGGATCATTACCGAATATTATTTTCTAAATATGTGTAATTTAAGATCTGAATAATTCATTGTTAGTCTAAGGAGTTTTAATTTCATACCAGTATTGCTTCTTTTACATGCTGGAGATCTTGTCACAGAAATACACCAAATAAAAATTGATTGATAAGGAGACAGAATTACTGAGACCAACTCATCCTGAATCTTTCCCTCTTGATATTTTCTGACAAGAGTGAAATTGAATTTTTAAAATTATAAATCTTTGAGTGAGTGGAGGGAAGCAGGCCTCAGCTCTCCCACTGCAGCACAGGAGAGCCTTGGAACACGACAACCATGATGTATGTGCCCTCACTGCTAATACACAAAAAATTAGTAGGTGGGAATATGTGACAAATGGGCTGTGGGAAGGAGACACTGATGCACTTTGTTTCTGCCCATTGCCTTTCACGACAGAATCAATTTTGCGAGCTATCTACCATCTATGCACCACTGCACACTGACTTTTCTTTTTTTTTTTCTTCTCACAAAAAAAGTTATTGGCAGCACACACTGGTTTATTAGATGAACTGGATTCACTTACACTGAGGTTTAAGCATATTTCACAATTCAGCATGGACTGGTTGCTGCTCTTATGACAAGATAATCAATTTAATTATGCCTTACACCAGTTAATCTGTCTCATATTTCTGGTGCTCTGATTTCTATGATAAATTGTAATACACTACATCTACCGCTTCTGGCTTTTTGCCCTGCAATGGTTTAATTTCTGATGTTTTTAAGACTGAAAACAGTTTGTTCATCTCATGTTATTCATGTGAATTTGATTGAATTTGGCAATAACTACAGCCAGCTAGATATACTGAGGAAGTGTGTATCAGCCTCTGACTGACCTAAACTACTCACAAAGAACTTTTTTCAACCACGCAGAAGTGTCTTCACCTGAGGCTAAACCAACCCGAGTGAATCAGCCTCAGTTCTTACCCACTCATGTATTTGTCTCGACTTAATCTTGACCACCACTAAAAATACCCTTTGAACTACCTCTACAGTCATAATTTCTTACCTTTTATCTGCTGATTAGAGTCATTCAGATGCACTTGAAGTTCACTTACAAGCATTTCCCCTGAGAAACAAACACAACACATCAAGAGATCAGTCATTTAAAGAAGTACTTCAGCATTTTGAGTTAAAATTTATTCACTTTCTTTCCTTGATGGAGCTGAGAAAATCCATAGCCCTCTCATGTGAGTGAGTACAGAATAGGGATGCCATGATGTGGAAACCCTCTCAGTGGGTAATAAACTTGTGTGGTGTTACTGATTACACAAGACATTTTTACAAGAAAAGACGTGTTGGCTTGGAATATCTGTAGATGAGAGGTGTCATCTCCAGATGCTGCCAACTTCATCAGATAAAATTTGCATATTGTCTTATGAATGTTATCAGGTTCCCTTTTTGATATTTGGTTTAAATCTTCTTTTACTTTTTGCTTAGACACTAAATTCTCCACCACTGTCTTGTCAGTCAACTATCCATAGTGCAACTTAGTATGTACCTGGAGTCTAGAGCATTACAGACCTGAACCCATATTAAAAATCTGGGTGTAATCATGGATAGGGAGCTTAGTTTCAGTGACCACATCAAAGCTATAACTACATCTGCATTTTGGCATGGCAAAAATATAGCTATGGTCAGAGACCTTGTGTCTAATCAAGACTTAGAGAAAGTCATTCATGCCTTCATATCTTCCAGAGTTGATTATTGCAACGCTCTCCTCACTGGTTTACCAAATAAGAGCATTAGCCAGCTACAGCTTATTCAGAATGCTGCTGTTCAGCTTCTTACTCAAACTAAGAAAAGAGAGCATGTCAGTCCAGTTCTCAGGTCTTTGCTCTGGCTTCCAGGCAGATACAGAGTTGACTTCAAAGTTTCACTTATTGTCTATAAGTCACTAAACGGTCTGGGCCCTAAATATCTTTCTGAAGTGTTCGGTGTACACAAGCTCGATAGGTCTCTAAGATCTGCAAACTCAAACAAATCCACTCAAATTGTAACTGGCCTTAAAAAACTGCTCCATTCTCGTCCGTCTTCATTTAATCTTTTAATCTTGCACTTTAATAAGATATTATCTATTTTATAATCTCTGTTTTTATACTGTTATCCGATTGTGCTTTTTCTATGCTTCTTTTATTTCTGTTAAGCACATTGAATGACTTCTGTGTATGATAATGTCCTATACAAATAAATTTGCCTTGCCTCCTGTCATCATGTGATAAGGCTCCACCTGCACGGAGGAGACACTTGCAGTTTTAAACTGTAGCGTCTGACTAAGTATTGATAACTAGTATTTTACAATTTTGAGTGTTTTATTTGATAAACGTGGGTACTCCCGCTGACATTCAAAAATGAACCAAATGGGTTAAAAGTCTATTAAAAGTGAGCAAGTTATGTAATCGGTGTGGACCTGAATATGGTGTAACACCGGTACACGGACTACCGCAGCCAACCGAGTACAGAGCTGAAGTTGGGATGTGATTAGCTTAGTTTAGCATAAAGATAATAAGCAGGGGAAAACAGGCAGCTCACCTCTCTCCAAAGTTTAAAAACACATCTACAAACACGTATAAAGCTCTAATGAACTAAATGATCTATATTCTTGATGAATAACAGTTTATATATCTGTATACTTTTGTGTGGGCTGTAGCTGTTTAACTCTGCTTCCATAATGCTAAGCTAGGCTAATCGCCTCCCACTCCAGTTCAGACTTGACACACAGACAGATGTGAGCTGACATGAGACTTTTCATTTCACTCTCAAGACGAAAGAATAAGTGCATTTCCAAAAAATCAGTTAGTATTTTTCAGACAAGAGCAACAAGAAACAGATCACTAACCTAATATAGTTGAAGTACAATGAGAATTACAGTGAGGTACATTCAGTCTTACCAGTCAGCATGGTTGGCTGCACATCCATAAATTTCCTAGCAGGCTGTGTGTGGACTTCTGGTGCCTTAGTGGGTTTTACTATATGGACAAAAAAAAAATCAACATTTGAGAAGGAGTCTCGACATAACATGAAGCTAAAAACAATCGATTCTGAGCCAGGGTTTTGACACCATCTATATTTAGAATAAAATCTCATTAAATCCCAGTGATCAGTCATAATCAAAGTAAGTTAAATTTTTTTAGTATTAGTCTAGAAATGGTGTTGGTCTGCAAACAGATATCATCTACTAATGGAACCAGACAGAGTCAATCATAAACACAAACACAATAAAAAAAAAAATCACACAACATTTTCCAATTGATTTTCACTACAACATCGGATGTCAGCAGAATTGGTCACAGTCGAACGACTCGCTCGTTATTTTCTCTGACAATTTCAATATCTAAATGACTTCTAAGTTGTGTCTAAGTCTGGCATAATTGAGTGTGCTTTGGTGACTTTAAACGATTTAAATGCTAAATCAAGGTGGAATGTGATTTCATGGTCAGCTAAAATTCATCTGAAAGTTAATTTTCTGAGGTAAAACTATTTTGATTATGTTACCACTCTGAAATGAGTTTTCATTTGTTGTGCAGCAACTGTGATGTGTTGTGGCTGGGCTGTCTATGAACCCAGAGGTATACAAATGACACTCTGCACTGCATACTGCTGTGAGATAAGGGTGGGAAAGTAATTATTTCTGTTTAGTCAAATTAAAGAATTTACAATGACAAGCTGAAAATGGGATTAACTATAATTACAAATGTTGCGTCAGGTTGCTTCACATCGACCCCTTTTAAAAGGTGCTGTATGTAATTTTTCTCTCCCACCAAACGTAGTTTTGTGCTAGAAGCAGGTGGTGCTACAGCCATCACTGTATTTACAAGACTGGAGGTTATAATATGCCCTTATCAGTGTTACTTCTTCATCCTCTAATACTGAAACCAGGGCAGACTGGACTCACTATTGCACCACAGTATTACGAGACGGGCCGAGGCAAGCTGGTTAGCATGCTAATTTCAGTAGAAGAAAAGATGTGTATGAAAAAGAAGGAATGAGTTTTCCACCACTGGAGACAATAACGTTTGATGCTGAACTTGCAACTTTTCTTCTAGACTTTTCTTCTAGAACAGCTGAACACAAGAACCCTCTAGATTTTATATTTGAATTTGAACAGAACCTAACAATGTTACTGCCATGACAGCTTGGGCGTTTGCCAGTCTTTAGAGAAAAAGGAGAATACTTCAACCTGGGCCTACCTGGGTTCTGACATTTCGCCTGGCACTCCGCCATGCTCCTGAAGTTGTTGGCATTGCCAAAGCAGCCACCATAAAAGAAATGATTGCACTGCTGACTCTTGCTGTCAAAGAAGTAGCGTTTCACCAGTCCTCGACAGGGACCAGGAGCCTCTGGCAAATGACACGGACTCTTGTCCTCTAGAAAAGAAGAGGGGGAAAAATATATAAGAAACCAAGAAAAGAATCAATTAATTACTGAGTATGTTGCTAAAAAAATAATAGTAAATGTGTGTTTCTTTACAGTGCATTACAGTCAGCAGTTTTTCCTCCATATTCAACTTTGGTCCGAAATACAAAATGTATGACTTTCATTCCTCAGTTATTTAACAAAAAAAATTCAGCTTTCTTTCATGGTGGGTTTGTTTGACCAAGACAGAGAGACTGAGTCAAACAGAAGCACCAAACAGGCTTCTACAGTCTACATTATTTAGCATCATCTTCAGTTTTTTTTGCATTGAACTGTTACTTTTCTGTTTACTCTCATAGTTCTTATTCTCTCTTACTTTGTTCTTACTGTCGTTCTGACCACAGAGCTCCAATGACTGTGAAATCAACTTCCCTTAAGTCTGTGAAACTTCCCTTAAAAAACTAAAATGAAATCAAAATACAAGAAAAACATGATGTACTTCCCTGCCTCAGTTGAAATTTCACTTTTGCAATGAAGGCGTCTAAATTGTGCTTTTTAAAATATGGAATATATTGCAACAAAGCCAGTGGTAGTTTTTTGCTCACATACAGTATGTATGATGCAAGGCCTTGAGCATTGAATGACACATTTGAAAGAGAACACTGAGTACGATTCAGTCCAATGAAACGTGTTGAAAATAAAAACAAAGGCAGGGAAGACATACCTACTCCAAGCCTGTACAGCATGAGGTGCAATAAAGGAACTGCAGGACATCACCCTTGCAATCACTGTCCATTCAATCACAGCTAGCTCAGTTCCCGCCTCCCCAGAGATTACATGACATTTCCACTCCAGTCAGGTTCTCAGATTCAGCCCCCCCCCCCGCCCCAGTCTTCCTCTGCAAACTGATAAGTCACTACTTGCACCAAGAACGTCCTTATGTTGCCTTGTCCCTAGTGAACCATATCTCCTCCTCTGCCATGTCTATGCTTTTCTTTCCTGTCATATCTTCTCTACCTGTTACATCAACTCCCACTCCCTCTGTTTCACTTCTCAGCAGTTATCGTATATTTTATCACCCTTGGGTCTTGGAGCACTGGGATCTGGCCCTGGTGGTTGTTGGCGACAGTTTGATGCTCATCTAAATCCTGCAACTTTCACTGTAAGATTCTGTTTGTCTAGCTTTAATCCAACCTTTGAGCTATGAAAGTAAATACATTTTAAAAGTTATTTGTACTTCAGATCTCAGAATGCAATTTGTACATTGTATTTTCTTTAATCAGAGATTTGTTACTTTAAACAGCATCACCTTCTACAGTGCAGAGCACCCCGACTGCAAAAGCAGCAGAGTTGTTGTGGAGGGTTTTGTGGAACCCTGCTGTTCATTTGAATAAGCTGTCACAAAACCCCAAAAAATTTACAAGCTAGCGACTGGCTCATGCTTGACTTGAGTCTGTAATACAATCACAACAATGGTATGAAATGCATCACTTCCAGTGGACTGGCTCTGTTTTGGACAGACTTCATTTGGCATTGTCAACTAACACAGGTGCAACCTGACAAGCTGTTACGAGCTTATCAACATTTTTCAACAGCAGAGTTGAGAGTGTGTGTCCAATTATTGCATGTGTACTGGGTTGAATGGTTCACACACCGATGGATGATTTACATTGTGTATAAAACTCCAGATACTAAAGAGTTCTTTTTTCGTGATTACATAAATGAGACATCTTCACATTTAAAATAACAACAACGATGCATTTCTCTTTGTAAATGTTTAGTCCAAAAGTTGTTGAGGCAGTGAAATGAAAACCTCACTGAGCCGCCAGTGGATTAGTCAGTACAAACCCATGCTGTGAACCAACGCTTTGATCAAACCCACAAAACTTTATTTTAAATTCTAATGGAGATCCAAAGTTTCCAAAAATAACAAATATGCAAGGCTGTATTTTGGGGTGCTGTTTCTAAAATGATGCACAGTGCAAAAAGAAAAATTTCATTTCATGGACTGATGCATGTGAAGTCTGAGGTTTTGAATTGTATTTCAATTTCAATGGAGGGCTGAAGCAAAATGATGCATACGATATTGTCAGGTTGTACTAATATTATTTTAGCAACCTTAAATCTACTTATACATGGATAAATATGAATTTAGAGATTGCATAAAATATTTTAATTAATTTATTAATTATTATTATTTTTACATTTGGACATATAATTCTATATCTGTCCACTACACTATTATGTTATGTACTCATTCTTACATTGAATCTGAGTCTTCAAGTGTAACATCACAGATGACATTCAATAGAAATAATACAAATATAGCCATTGTTAGCAATGTTAACCAGTATGTTCATTAATAATGATTAATAAAGGTCTGATATTCTGATATTCCAAACAAAATAAAATAAAGACTTAATAGTATAATAGTAGTATAATCCAAGTTTAGTATGCATATTACTGATTTTGCGTGCTTCGTAGGTAAATCACAAATCAAAGCTGGCTGTCTCATCTAATGATAAGAAGAAAGGTCATATCTTTCACATAGAATTTAATTATGGAATAATTGGCCCAAAGTTACGTGTATGAGCTAAATGAACAGTTCCTTCTGAAACAGCTCCAGAGGGTTTTGGCTGTTCTTGAAAGAGAACCTCAATATTCAGCAAAACAGACTTGAAAACAGCTGATTTTTGGTTTGTTAACGAAGTAAGTATACATAGCTGATTTAACAAAGCAAACAATGTAATGTTGAAGAAATATGTTGACGTAAAACGATTAATTGTCATTTTTATGAGGAATGAGAAACAAATGAGAAAAAATATGCTAACTGGTGAGCTTCAGTGGTGCTGGTAGGTGGATTAGCCAGACTAGCTGTTTCCAAGTTTCCAGTACTTGTGCTAAGTTAAAGGTAGAGTAAGAGATTCTGGAGAAGACTATTGATATTTCCACGTAACAGCAAAAGAAATACACCTCCCATCAGCACCCCCCCCCACCAGGCATTGCCAAGGCAACAACACAATGGCAAAAAATCCAGAGTGTCTTATATGACGTGGAAGTTGATGCTGTTTGTCATAGTTGAAGCAAAAGAAAATCTTATAACATGTAAATATCTGCTGGTTATTCCTCAGTCTCGGCTGGTGTCTGAAGGTGACTGGGCCTTTGCTGTTAGAGCCCCCAAACTGTGGAACAGTCTACCTATCGAGATCAGACAGGCTACATCATTAGTGTCTTTTAAAACTCTTTAAAACTTTGAAACATTGTTTTATCAGAAAGCTTGTGAACTTGTGTTTTTAGGTCTTTGTGACTACAAAACCCTTCACACTGTGTCTGGACAAATATCATGATACAGAGCAGACAGCGAGACAGCAAACAGCAGGTATACTTGCAGCTGCAAAGCTAACCCGAAGAAACAAAGCTTTCAACTCTCAGAGGTCTCTCCATCATAGTCAGACTGGCCATCGGACTGCCAAAACAGCCATAAAGTTGTTGAAATTTTTACCTGCCCTGTGAGTCTCTGTTGTAGCCTTCTCAGCCCTCCCTGTGTGCCTGTCAATCGGGGCGCTGACCAGTCCCAGCAAATAAGCCCTGGGCTAAATTCCTTTCCCAATCCAGTTGTGGAGATACACCGCTGCCATGCCTTCACCAGAGCACATTCCTTAACATTGCCGGTGGTCTATTGTCTGCAGTCCCAATCAGTCCCATTCAGAACCCCACTAGGTCTGGCAGTGACAGAAGGGTAGACTACTCCTTCTCCCTCCCCTAGTAATCCTTAAATTGGCACTATCCATTAGCATGTGCCAGATTTACCGTCTTTCGCTCCCCACTGCCCCCTTTGCCTCATCACTCCTCTTCTCTTGGCTGAACTCGTGCTGTGTTACTCAGTCCAAGCCACTTTGTTTATTTCCCATTTACAGAGCCAGGGCTGTGTAGGAAGACCGGATTTTTTTTCAGCACATACACAGAACAGACAGACAGTGGACCATGAGGAGATATTAACTGAACTTGACTAAAAGTGTATTAGATTAGAATCACTTACTCCACCTTTAAGTTCACAAGCAGCTGGCTGCAGTCTTACATTTACCAGACTGGTATGAGAGTCATAAAAGTCAAAGAAATTAATAAGCACACTTTTTCTTCTATAAGACATTCAGCCATCGTAGGTTTACAACAAGATAGTGGGTATTAGCTGACCAGACTGTGTGATTTGCTGGTTAACAAGCTGACAAAACAAAATCAGTCACACTTGCAGGAGGCCAAATTAAAAATCTGTAGAGACGTTTGACTTGTGTAAAAATAAATGCTGCTAAGTGTCTGCACCTACTGTGTCCCAGCAGCCGAGGACTTCTGAGATAAAAGGATGTCTTGCACCAGTTCCACACTCTCTGTTTGTTTTATCTCTTAAGTCCTTTTATAAGCACACTTCACTGAGGGCTGGCCATGATTAAAATGCTATCATTGTAACATCTAAATACATTTTACGGGGTGACTTTGGCTTAAAAGCATGGGGAAGGAGACGTGTCAAAGGGTAGTCTAGCACACTCTCTTGAGCAATGCAGTGATGAATTATTCAGAAACAAAATAAATTCTCTATTAAAGCTGTGAAGGTGGAATAGGTGATTTGTGTTTTGAGGAGAATTATCGGTCAGACTCTTTTTTTTTTTTTTTTTTTCAAGTGCTGGGTGTGAATCAAACAGTCCACCATTCCAGAGGGTTTTGGCTGCTCTCCAAAGAGAACCTCAGTATTTCAGCAAAACAGACTTCAACCTTTCAGATGGCTGCAGAGGATTTTTAGAGATAGTCTGGTTTGTGAATGAAAAAAATATATTTTCATGTTGGCTTTCATATTTCCTCCACTTTCAGTGTCATACCCAGAAAGATGAGAACGATGAGATTTTAGGACATTGCACAATGAATCTATTGAATACAAACAATGTTTAGACTACACTTTGTATCACCCCATGCCTCCCTTATCTCTGCACAGCTGCTTTCCTCACTGCTTAGTTCTTCC